CCACCCGCTGCAGCTCTTTGTTCAGATCTCTGAAAAGTCTAGGTGGCTTCTTTCAATTTGTAGTCCTGGGAGTCAGAGCCAATCCCCCCAAACAGACCCGCATGTTAATGAAGTTCAGGACTTGTAGGGTTTTGTCTTCCTCAATGCACTTTCACAGAATAGTCATCTATTGATACCGAGGGTAACTCTAGTCAGATATCACCCAGATCCCACTGGGAGCTGGCAGATTACATCAATTAAAATATAATACTTTGCTTTATTTCTTTTAATTGCTTTGCAAGGCCCCAACCGTCACAAGATCTCTACCTCAGAACTCAGTGGGGTGTAAGTTGAGCGTGTAGATGGCTTTCTCCAATTCAATGCTCATATGAGAATATTCATCCTGGGAACTTGCCAGCCGGCCCTCTTATTGGTTAGGTGAGACTGAAATATCACGATAACCAATCCACCTGGGGCCGCCCTGTGAAACTTCGTTAGTTTTGGATTCCAAGGAGTTTACCTTTCCTTTGGAATCCAGGGCTCCCTGTGGTGCAGGAATTAAATGCGGGGAGGCGGGGTGGGGGGGGGGGGGTGCATCTCAGAGCAGCAGGCTGGTTGAGGGAAGCTTGAGAGAACCCCTTGCGGCTCTCCTGCCAATAGGGGTGCGCAGCAGGTAAAATAGTCTGGAAATGATAAGGGAGATTTGATTCCCACTGGTTGTCAGCTCCCGTGGGGTAATAACAAAGAGGCCTGTTTGGAAAATTCAGAGAAGGAATCCTTTCATAAAGATTTCGCCTAAAGCTAGTGCTTCCTATGGGACCTTCTCAAAGAGAGAAATTACACCTTCAGTTGCCTTGAGCTGAGTTATTCCCATGCCTCTGTTGAAAGGTGGCTTTCTCCCCACGGGCTAGGCCACTACTGCCCAGACAGAGTGCCTCCAGGCTGACACTGGCCATCCTACAGTGTGTCCCTCAAAGACTGGTGATGCCATGTGTCCTTCTCATAGGAACCCCCCCTCTTCACACACACACACACACACACACACACACACACACACACACCCTGGGTGTGGCTTCCAGAGGAAAAAAATCTCCATGCTTTAGAACTGAATGGGGTCAACAACCCCACTGCAATTTAAAGGCAACCAGGGAAGAGAAATTCTGTCCCTATTGATAGAACATTATTGTTCAATTTTATTAATTTCATACTAATTTCAAAATGTGAAGAAAGAATGAAAAATACTAATATTACCGTACACAAAGAGCAGAGACAGTGCTGAGGTCAAGAAAGAAAGATGTCTATGAAGCAATAAAGTAGGGCCTCTCTAATCACACATGGCGGAGGAGAAGAGGCCCTAAGAACAAGCATAAAGAAATTGGGTATTTAATCTGCCTAATGAGCTAAGAGCCTGTGTGTAAGGTTCCATGTCTGAGGTTCACGTGTCAGGAGTGGGTACATGTGGCTGAAGCCGTGTCTGAGGACTTACCCTATTAACAGGTTAGACCCATAGAGTCTGTATCAGAGGATGGAGGTCAAACAGGTAAGTGCCGTGATCCTCCGGCTAGAAAAGCAGCAAAGTGCCGTGTGCTTCATTATTCTCCACCTTGTCCAATGTGCTCTCTGACTCTTCCGAAAACTCAGAGGAAAGCAGGGACCAAAGGGCCTCTCCTCTGTCGGCACTGTTTCATAGGTTGGCGAGTGGCCTTGGAGGATGCTTCTCTAGCACAGGGTGCACATAAAGTTCTGTGGGAAATGATGCAGTAGAATACACTGTGCTCGGTCTGGGAAGATACACTCACCTGAAAGAGGCAGCAAAAGTGAAGCACAAACGATCCAGGTGCTGGAGTGTTGGATCTGGAACACAAAACAGGTAGGAAATCAGGGCAGTGTCCAAGGCAGGGGTGGGCAAACTTTTTGACTCGAGGGCCACAATGGGTTCTTAAACTGGACCGGAGGGCCGGAACAAAAGCATGGATGGAGTGTTTGTGTGAACTGATATAAATTCAAAGTAAACATCATTACATAAAAGGGTACGGTCTTTTTTTTTTTTTTAGTTTTATTCATTTCAAACGGGCCAGATCTGGCCCGCGGGCCGTAGTTTGCCCACAGCTGGTCCAAGGGGTTGAGATAGGCTTTAGTAGAGGAAGCAGCACTGTGTCTTGGGGTTGTTAAAAAATTTGGGGTGGTGATGAACACACAATGCAATATTCAGATGATGTATATAATTGGACACACACACAATTTTTTTGATGTTTAGAAAAACAGACTTTGCTTCATCTCCTTGGAGTGGAGTCTGGTACCCATGTGGATGGAAACAGGACCCTGCTGTAAGAGGCAGCTGTTGCTGTTCTGTTTTCATCAACAGCAGGGTGGGGGCGGGGGCAGGATTCTGGCTCTCCTATTATGCTTCTTCCTCTTCGCTGTCAACAGTAATTAGAGATTGTCACCACTATCTCATTTCCAGGCTTCCTTAAATTGCATTTGTGGGATTAGCTGCAGAGACAAACAGACTTAGCCTGTCAGAATACAAAAAGACTCAGTGGTCCGAAGTGGGTTATAAGCTCTTTAAAAATAACAGTCACATAATTTTTACAGAGAGAGAGAGAGAGAGAGAGAGAGAGAGAGATATTGATGTGAGAGAAACATCAATTGGTTGCCTCCCACACGTGCCCTCTGGAACTTTAGCTGCTGTCTGTGGGAACCCTGCCAGCCATAAGAACAGTAAAAATTTAAAATAGAAGAGAATTTAAGAAACCTCTGTGACATCATCAAGCTAAACAACATCAGATAATAGGGGTATCAGAGAGAGAAGAGAGATAGCAAAAGAATGAGAACCTATCTGAGGTAGCAACCTTAAATGCCACACTAGACTAGATGGATTTAATTGATATTTTCAAAGAAATTCACCCCACAATAGAATATTCAGTCTTTGCATGTGCACATAGAACATTTTCCATGATAGACCACATCTCAGGAAAAAAACAAGTCTCAATAAATTTAAGAATTTTCAAATCATGTCAAACATCTTCTCTGACCACAATGGTATGAAATAAGAAATTACAAGAAAAAGTATGAGTTCAACCTCTGCCGTTTACTAGCTGTATTTTGCAGGGGGTATATTACTTAACCTGCATCTCACTCGGTAACTTGGATGGTGCCAAACACACTTCATAAGATTATTGTGAGGATTAAAGACAATAAGTTAAGTGAAATATAGCAAGCGTTGCCTGGCACATAGTAAAAACTCAGACAGTAGCTATGATTGTTGTTATAGTGTAATCAACTTTGAACTAATGACTCAGAAGAACATAGACTTAGAATCTTAGAATCAGACTGGTCAACCAGTCCAACCTACCCAGGAATTTTTTATATATTATTCCAACAGATTCAGCCTTTGTTTAAACTATCCTGGTGACAGGGAACTCATTAGAACCAACTGAAGCACCTCCAATTCTTTGAAAGTTTTTCTTTATTATTAGGTTGAACCATATGAAATTTGTTTGTAGGTTAAAATAATCAAACTATCCACAAGTTCTAATAAAATTTTCATTTCTTATACTCTTTTCTGTTACTTTAGTTCACTGTCTACTCTTCTTCTCCATGACAGTCATTTAGACATAATGAGGAATCAGTGGTGTACAAGATAGGCTTAGGCTTAGTTCCTGTCTTCATAGAGGCTTGAGTGCTTGTCAAAGAGCCAATAAGAAAACAAGCAATTATGTATAATTTTCAGTCTCAAGGAGCTAGAAGAAAAATCTTTCAAGCAAAGAGCTTAGCAAAACAAATTTCCAAAGAACAGAAACATGAGGAATTGAGAGTAGAGAGCAGCATTGCCCAATAACTTCCTGTGATGATACAAATATTCTATATAAACACTGTCTAATAGGATAAAATTAGCCACATGGTTATTGAGCACTTGAAATAGGGCTAGTGTCATATGTCTCAGGAAATGTAGTTTTAATTTAGCTTAATTTTAATTAATTTAAACTTAAGTAGCCAGATGTAGATAGTGCTACCAGACTGGGCAGGAGAGGTATGGAATAAGAGGAGACAGGGAATAACATGACCAGATATGAAAGAGAATTCTAGCTGTTTTGTGGGCAGAGATTGGAGATGGGTAAAGACAGTGGTCTTGCCTTTAGGAATTGCTCTATACGGGGAGAGAAGGGAAAAAAGAAAAGTGACTTAATAATATCTCAAATAAATAAGTATATAACTAATCATACCTAGCCAGATACAACACTCACATGTACATTTATAGACCGTGTACATGGTATTTGTTAATAGTAATGATCCACATTTCTTGCCTTTTCCCCTAATTGCTCAGAATACATTTAACTTCCAAAGTATTTCTGGGTATCCCCAGGGATACCTGAACTCACAAGTCTATCATTTGAGTATCCATGGAGCATCCACCCTATTTTTCCTCCTCTCTGCATATTTCATTCTGCCTCTCTCTTGGCCCTTGCCACTGAGACTATTTTTGAATGTGATCATGGCAATGACCCTGATACTCCCAAAGCCATTCATTCTAAGATGCCAGAAAGATTCCCTGTTCTCTGCAGCAGGAGGGAAAAGTCCCATGTCAACAAACTAAGCCACATTGATTTGACTCACCCTCCCCTTGATCCTCAGAGCACTTTCTTTAACCAGCTCTTTCAGGCTCCCTCTCCACCCCCTTTAACTCCATTAAGTGCTACCTATGGTCAAGAGAAAGCAAAACAAAATGAGAGAAGCAAGTCCCCAGGAACTGCTATTGGGTTCCTCCTAAAGAATTTTGTCTCCTGCCACAACTGGTTTGGCTCAGTGGATAGAGCGTCGGCCTGTGGACTCAAGGGTCCCAGGTTCGATTCTGGTCAAGGGCATGTACCTTGGTTGTGGGCACATCCCCAGTGGGGGGTGTGCAGGAGGCAGCTGATCAATGTTTCTCTCTCATTGATGTTTCTAACTCTCTATCCCTCTCCCTTCCTCTCTGTAAAAAACCAATTATATATAGAATTTTGTCTCCCTGACTCTAGGAACCAATACATCCCCAGGCATGCACACCATGACCCTTCACGTGCTTCCTGACACACCACATGAAAGCACACACAACCCATGCAACAGACCTCAGCTCCTCACACTTCAGCTAACATATCCACACAGGCTGAATTCTCCTCAGGATCAGCCAGCACCATCCTACTCCATGTATGTTCCTGTAAAAGAAATGGACAAAGAAGCACTAAGCAATCACTGCCCAACGGTCAGTACAATGTGGGCGGGGCTGGAGCAATAGCATAGCATAAGGCAAAGTGTGTGGACTCTATTGTGGTGCCAGACGGACCCGATTCAAATCTTAGCCTGGTCACTTCTACTAACTGCCTGGCCTGGGGCAGCTTAGCCTCTGTGAACTTCGGTTTTCAAACCTATGAAACACCTCCGTTATGAAGGCAGTAAAAGTGGCAGTCGCATGTGCACGGGGCCTGGGACCCAGCAGGGTGCTCAGTAAGTGGGAGCTCCTACTGCTCCAGGGGCAACGGAGCCCTGAAAGCTCCCGGCGGGCGGGCGCTTCGGGCCTTAGGAAGGGGACGCAGCATGGCGGCCAGAGCGCTCCTTATCCTCACGCAACCGCATCTTGGGATGGGGTTGGATTCCAGCCTAGAGGGCACCTGTGAGGACACTGACGCGAGACAGGAAGTGAGTTGGTCAGGGTCCCACCGCAACTTAGTGACAACCAGGACACCATTCCAAGTGCGTCTGGAGGGCTCAACCCGGTGCTCGCTCCCGTCAGGCCGCAGCCGCCAGCAGCCAGGCCGCTCCAACACCTGCGCTCCTCGGCACCAGCGGTCCCCTCCGGACGCGCAAGAGGCAGAGCATCACAGGCCTCTCCCTGGGAC